GCACTCAGAGCTCCGTGGCGCTGCTCCCGGCTGCCAGTGGGGGGCGCCTGCCGTATTCTCCAAGTGCTGCGGGTGAAGAGCCCTTCCTTTTTACTTGGGAGGTGCCCCAAAGCGCGCCACGTCCCCTGGAACTCTTAGGGGCTTCCTTCCCACCTTCTCTGCTTCTGTCTTCTCTTCCCCTCTGAGCCAGGGTCCCTGGAAGACCCCAGGAAACCTCTCCTCAGTGCCCCTCAGCGGGTCAGGGGCATCAAATCCAATGGTCAGTGCATAGGGTAGGGAAGGGAGAGCTTAGGTCATTCCTTTTTTCTCTTTTGGTATTAAAATCCTTCGTTTTAAGAAACAGATGATTATTTTGTCAAAGTCCCAATTTTGCAAAACTAAACATTAGCAGCTCTTTGATGTTTCCCTCACGTTTTCCTGATGTCTTACCTCTCAGCGAGTCCCCAGACCGGAAACCCTGGCTCTCAGGCGGGTGAGCAGGGACTTTGCCCAAGGGGAGCGAACAGGCTTACATGTCTACAAAGACTGCGGAGCTGAGCATCCCGGTGCACAGAGTAAAACCGAGGTGTGGGAACACGGGTGGGGCGGGGGGGGGGGCGCGGGGTTGCAGAGGAGCAACCGGTAGGGGCGTGGTCTTGCTTCCCTGCCGGGAGGGCCGAGCTGGGGAGCTGCCTGGCGGTGCTGGGAGTTAGGGGCGTGTGTCGGCGCATTGGATACTTGAGTGGTAAATCCACAGAGACTTGGAATCCCGTGGTTTCCTTGGAGAGAGCTCAGCCACAGAAGACAATCTGTTCAGTGGGCACATGGTCTCAGAGTGGGCAAGGGGCGGGGCTGGGATGACCCGGCTGCCCTAGGTGACAGGGGAGGAGGAGAGGAGAGGAAGGCTCTGTCCCTTCTGGCCGACCCCAGTTCTCAGTGGCCTCCTGCTTGGGGATTTCTCAAGAGGGAAGTCTGCTCTGGGTGAATTTTTGGGGGGTCTCCCTGAGACCATGGGAAACTTGCTGCTTCCTACCTCCCCACAATATATGGACACTCCTGTACCTGGGCAGGGGACTCCCTGTTCACCTGGAGAAGGTGAGTGGTGCTCACCTTCCCCTGGGGCCTCGGGCACTGGCTGGCACCTTCTGGTGCGTTCCCCTTGCTTCATGGGACCGTCCCCCCACACCCAGCCCCCCCGCCCCAGCCCTCTAGGATCTCCCTGCAGGGGCGTTCCTGCGTGGTTTTGTTGCTGGTCCACACTGAGCCTGAATGCTTAGTTACCAGCAAAAGACAAGTCCGAGTCGATTGTATGAGGAGGATCTTTAATCGGAAGCCAGCAAGCAAGGGAGAGGCCAGGGATTGATTGCTCTTGGAATGTGGGCCCCTGAACAAAGCTTTGATGCATCTTTATTGGGGGGAATCATGCATAAACGTCAAGGTGGGTTTCATCACGGCAGGTATATGGGGGGACATTTCAGCGCATGCGCAGTCAGGAAACAGTTGTATCTACACCGCCTGTTCAAAAATGGCAGAAACTCTCCCCCGTGGGTGGAGATTTTAGTATTATATGATGAGGGCGTAATGAGGAGAGTCCATGAGGGGGTGCCTAGAGGGTCCTTCAAGCTACTGTAGCCTGTCACCCCCTGGCCCTTTACATCTCGGTCCTGGTCCTGAAAAACCGATCTGGCAATCCTCAGCGTCAGCGGCTGCGGTTGTTATGGAAGGGATTGTAGCTAATTACATCTTTCTTGGTCTTTCTGCGAGACTTTCAGCAAATTACAGGATACACATTATACAAACTTTATACATTCTAGGGAGATTCTAGGACTACATCAAGGCAAAGTTACAAACTCTACAGCAAAGGTTCATCTAGCCCTGGCTGGGTGGCTCAGCTGGTTGGAGCCTCATGCTGCACACCAAAAGTTTCTGGGTTCGATCCCTGGTGGGGGCACGAATGGGAGGCAACCGAGAGATGTCTGTCTCCCTTTCTCTCTGAAATCAATACATGTGTCCTCGGGTGAGCGTTTAAAAAAAAAAAGGTTAATCTATGCTAGCCTACCTGCTGGGCTATATATATTAGGTTAGGTTAGGTTACAGTTTCTCCTGCCACACGCCCAGGGATGGGTCTCAGAGGGCTGGGGACAACTTCCAGAAATGCTGGCTGTGAGGCCTTGGTTGGTAATGACATTGATTCTGCATTTCAGACAGCTGTGCTAAACAGCAACAAAGAAAACCTAACGTCCACAGCTGAATGCCTTTTTTAAAAAATGAAAGAAAGGAAGAAAGAAAGAGAGAGAGAAAGAAAAAGAAAGGAAGGAAGGAAGGAAGGAAGGAAGAAAAAGAAAGAAAGAAAGGATTTGTTTCGGCCATATTTCTAGCCAGAGAGGGACTGGGTCTGGAAGCGTGAAGTCTGAACCTCCACCAGCGCGGCTGGGTGGAGAAGGCAGCACATGCGCCATCCTGGAGTTGACGGCACACTTGTATATTACGTTTCAAGGAGGAAATGTAATTTGTTTGGAAAGAATTTACAGGGGCTACAGATAAGGGGGCTCAGATAAGGTGAAGCAGGGGCAGGTCTGTGACCGGAGCGTGTTCTGGGGAAGGAAGAGTCATTTGCTCCTTTTGATGGGCCGCAGGCCCCAGGCCTGCGGACTCCTGCCCGTGTCATGGGCGAGGCCTGGTGGGCCGGTGGATGCCCGCAGGTGGACGCACAGCTCCGACAGGCGTTCAGGGGTGTCAGTGGTCTCTTGTCAGCTGGCCCACAGTGATGAACTGGCTAATTAGTTAACCAGTGTAATAATTGGTTAATTATTCCTGTCACTCTTGCCTTCTCTCCAGCCCACTATAATTTAATTTAGGACATCTCAGAATTGTTCTTTTGTCAGCCGTTTAGCAATGGGTATCAGCAACTTCAAAAACATTCACACCCTATGACCTGGCACTTTTACATACGCAAATCCTTCTTAAAGAAATCTCCAGAGCTTCTGGCCAAGATGGAGGCATAGGTAGACACACTGTGCCCCCTCGCACAACCAAGATAGGGACAACAACAATTCAGAAGTGGAATAACAACCAGAACTGACAGAAAATGGAAATGTATGGAAGTCGGACAACCAAGCAGTTAAAATAGACACGTTCCTCCAGACCAGTAGGAGGGGCGGGGCCGGGCAGCCGGGTGCGGGTCCCAGCGCAGAGAGCAGAGAGCGTTGGGACCGGGCACGTAAGGCATCCCGGGTTCTCGAGACCGCAGCGGGCGGACCCTGAGCGCACAAGCGGCGGCTGGCAGACCCTGGCCGAGGAGTGGCAACTGTGAAGCAACCCAGGATCCCAGTGCTGGAAAATAGAGCCTTGGGATATTGATTGAAAACACTTTTAGGGGTTGAGGTGCAGGGAGAGACTCCCAGCCTCACAGGAGAGGTTGTTAGAAAGACCCACGGGGTATACAAGCCAGCCCACATGGGAATTGGCACCAGAAAGGTCCAGTTTGCTTGGGGGAAGTGGCAGAAGGGACTGAAATCAGCAGAGAGCAGAGCAAGCACCATTGTTCCCTCTCGGACCCTGCCCCCATATATAGTGTTACAACCCAGTGACTGGGCTACCCTGCCCTGGTGAACACCTAAGGCTCTGCTCCTCATATGTAACAGGCACGACCACACCAAAGGAAAAAAAAAGATGGCTCAAACAGAAGAACAAATAAAGCCCCACAATCAGTACTTTTAAGCAACTGAGAAATAGTCAACCTATCAGATGCACAGTTTAAAGCACTGGTGATCAGGATGCTCACAGAATTGGTTGATTTTGGTCACAAATTAGATGAAAAAATGAAGGCTACAATAAGTGGAATGAAGAAAAATGCACCAATAGTGGTGGAATGAAAGCTGGGTCTCACATCAATGGAGTGGACCAGAAGGAAGAAAAAAACATACAATATGAAAAGAATGAAGAAACAAGAATTCAAAAAAATGAGAGGCTTAGGAACCTCTAGGACATCTTTAAACATTCCAACATCTGAATTATAGGAGTACCAGAAGGAGAAGAGGAAGAGTAACAAGTGGAAAACTTATTTGAACAAATAATAAAGGAGAACTTCCCCAATCTGGCAAAAGAAAGTCCAAGAAGCACAGAGAGTCCCAAAGAAATTGGACCCAAGGAGGAACATACCCAGGTACATCATAATTACATTAGCCAAGGTAAAAACGAAGGAGAGAATCCTAGAAGCAGCAAGAGATAAGGAGACAGTAACCTACAAAGGAGTTCCCATCAGACTCAGCTGGTTTCTCAAAAGAGACCTTATAGGCAAGAAGGGGCTAGAAAGAAGTATTCCAAGTCATGAAAGGCAAGAACCTACATCCAAGATTGCTCTATCCAGCAGAGCTTTCATTCAGAATGGAAGGGCAGAGAAAGTGCTTCTCAAATAAAGTCAAGTTAAAGGAGTTCATCATCACCAAGCCCTTATTTTATGAAATGTTAAAGGGACTTATCTAAGAAAAAGATGATAAATACATGTATAGTACAATGACAGCAAACTCACAATTATTAACAACCACACCTAAAACAAAAACAAAAAGAAACTAAGCAAACAACTAGAACAGGAACAGAACCAAAGAAATGGAGATCACATGGAGGGTTAGCAACAGAGGAGTGGGAGGAGGAGAGAGGGGGAAAGGTATGGAGAATAAGCAGCATAGATGGTAGGTAGAAAATAGACAGGGGAGGGCAAGAATAGTATGGGAAATGTAGAAGCTAAAGGACTTATGACACATGAACTAAAGGGGGGAATGTGGGTGGGAGAGGGTGTGCAGGGAGGTGGGGAATGAAGGGAGGGTAATAGGACAACTGTAATAGCATAATCAATAAAATATATTTAAAAAAAGAAAGAAATCTCCAAATGCGGCCCTGGCTGGTGTGGCTCAGTGGACTGAGTGCCAGCTGGCAAACAGAAAGGTCTCTGGTTTGATTCCCAGTCAGGGCACGTGCCTGGGTTGTGGGCCAGGTCCCCAGTTGGGGGTGTGTGAGAGGCAACCCATCGATGTATCTCTCACATATCATTGTTTCTCTCCCTCTCTTTCTATCTCTCTTCCCCTCTCTAAAAGTAAATAAATAAAATCTTTTAAAAAATAAAAAAAATCTCCAAATGCAAATAAAGCCTTGTGCAAAGACTCGTCACCAGCTGTTATTTATAAAGCAATAGGAAATAATGACCTAGTGTGGGAGAACAATCACATGGAAGTGCACGGATACAATAAAAAAGGTTTGTAAAAACATGCGGAAGTGCTGATATGCTATTTGTATTTATTTTTAGAGAGAGGGGAATGAAGGGAGAAAGAGAGGGAGAGAAACATTGATAGGCTGTTTCATGCACGGCCCCAGCCAGGGACCTGGCCCCCAACCCAGGCACATGCCCTGACTGGGAATCGAACCAGTGCCCTTTCGGTTCTCAGGTCAAGGCTCCATCCACTGCACCACACCAGCCAGGCCCTCCCCCATTACAGACACCCACCCACACCAGTGGTTTTCTACTCCTCCCCCGCCACACCAGCTCCATGGGCAATGAACCCACTCCAAGCTGGAGGGACCTGACTATTCATCAGGCCTCAGGGTTCCCCACCTCAAATCACTAGGCACAGGTTAGAAATGCAGAGTTCTGGGCCTGGCCCCAGGCACGGTTTCCAATCTCACCTTGGCATGCTCCCTCCTCCCGAGTCTGAGCAGGGAAGAAGGGGAGGAGACCTGGGGACCGGAGGGCGGGGGTGGGGAGCCTGTTGCTGGGCACCCAGGCCCCGGGGGGTTGCCTGCAGCAGACACAGCTCAGCCCAGGTCTCCTGAGCCCTGCCTGGCCCTGGTGAGGGCCCAGCGGCTGCACGCCCTGCCCGGGCATGTGACCATTTAGGCGAGGCCCCAGTCTCTGCTGGAGCTGGGAGGCCACCAGGGCAGGCGGACAAAGGCTTCCAGGTCAGGCTGGGGCGTGCAGGGGGAGAGCCTGGGGAGCGCGGGGAGAGCCCTGGGGTCTGGCAGGTGGACCCTGAAGCCACAGCAGAAAGCTTATTCCAGAGAGCCGAAATCCAGCCACGCAGATTCACAGCAGGCCTGGCCTGGAGGGCGTCCTGCCGCTAGACCGAGACGAACACGGAGCGCTTGAGCTCCTCAGACATGTGAAGGGGAGGCCCTGGGCGCGCCTCGCCCTCTGGGTGCTGGGACGGGGCTTCCTCTTGCTCTGAAGTCTGCAAAGACAACGGTGGGGTTGAAAGCAGAGCCCAGTTGTGGGGGGCGGGGGTGTCTCCAAGTAGTGGCTGGGTCCACCCCCAGCCTTTCCCACACAGCTCCAGGCCTCTGTCCACTGGAGGGGACCCAGGAACTAATGATGTCTCCCCACCATTCCCCAGGCTTTGACTCAGCCCCACCCCAAGCCATCCATGCCCTGAAGGAACCTCAGGTCAGTTTCTGGCTTTAGATGTTGGAACCCTGCCAGCCCAGAGCCCTTCCAGCTGTGATTCCCAACAAGTCATTGAAGAACTTTCTGGATGGGGAGAAAGAGGATGTAAGGTCACAAGTTCTGGCTCCCGAGCCAACCGGTCGGTGGAGGCCTGTGGTTATGATGGGGTAGGAGGGTGCATGCGGGGAGCAGAGTCTGGGGAGTGGGTGCTGAGGAAAGAGCCTCCCCCCACATTCCGAGCTGCCAGAGAGGAGCCAGACTCAGTGGCTCCAGACCCCCGTCTCCAGACACCCTGCCCGCACCTGGTCTAGGCACTGGATCTCCGTGCGGGGGCTGGCGGCAGGCCCAGTGGGTGCTTCGACGGCGTTGACCATGGCGTACTCCGGGACCTGGCCCTTGCCCAGAGGCTGAGACAGAGACTCGAGTCAGAACAGCCCATTCTTGGCAGCCGGGGCAGAGAAGGGAAATGCGGGGAGCAGGGGTCAGGGGGGAAGAACGGGGGTCATAACCTCAGAGTCCTTAGGTTCAGTTTCCTAAGTCTCAGTGTGACCTTGGGCAAGCCACTCAGCCTCCCCCGGGCTCAGTTTCCTGAGCTGTAAAATGGGGCTAAGAATTTTTTCCCTCAAGGTCATAATGCTTATTCATGATAACGTTTTATTACTCAACAACTAGGGACTCCTGGGATGATGCATCTGTTCTCATTATAGTTATGTCGGACGCCGCAAAGGTTCGCCAAATAACAAACAGCACAGGGAGGGACTCTTCAGAGAGCGTCGGTTTGAGTAACCAACCCCTCCTTGATCCGATGGGGAGACCGGGGCCCAGGGAAGAGAGGTGGGTGGTCCAGAGGGAGAGGGGAAGCCCATCTCCCCACTCAGACCCTCCTGCCCCCCGGGGTGCTGAGGTTGGGGTGCCAGCCCCCTCCACTTCCTGCCCCCTCGTCCTAGCGGCTGGGCAGAGCACCGGCTGGAGCCGGCTGAGGCCCTGGGCACCGCTGCACCACGGCGCCCTGGCCCTGGGTCTCCCGGCTTCATGGGCCCTGAAGCCAAAGGAAGGAGCTACCGCTTTTGGCCCCACCCCCACCCGGGGTGTCTCCTCTCGCACTTACCTGTCAGGTGGGGAAACTGAGGCTCAGAGAGATTATGTAACTTGCAGGTGTCACAGTGGCGAGTGGCTAACTAAGCTGGGACTTGTACCCACCGGCCACGCTTTGACCTCAGGCCCGAGCTCTTTTCCTACCCCGCTCCGGCAGGGCATGGAGTGCACCTCTCTGGTCTCCGCGCCCCTCCCTGCTCACCGGGCCTCCGGCTGCCATCAGTACCCTGGCCCCGGGGACGGGGCAGAGGGGGTTAGGTTTGAGGGGACAGAGTATGGGGGGAGGCAGAAGGAGGAAGGGATTTTACAAACACCGTCACTCAGGGTCTTCCTCCCTCCAGCTCTGCCTGTGGTGACGACACGGCTGACCAGAGAGGACTCCTGAGCGGGACTGAGGTCCATTTCCCTGTAACCCCCTGTTTACGGCTTTGTGATGGGCTCACACCCAGCCACTGCTGACCACAGACCGCCAGCAGCCACAGACGCGCCACCCACTCAAGGGCGACTGAATTCGAGGAAAGAACCTCACGGGGTAGAGACCAAGCTGCACGTGCAGGCAGCGGCCTGGAGCCTACGCCATGTCCAGTGTGGGGTTCAGTCTATCATCCGTCCTGCCACCCACCCTGTAGACAACTGGCCTGTTCTGGCAAGCGCGGGGCATTCTCTGGGTTGTTGAATACACAAGATACATATATATATGGGAGCCCCTGCTCTGGGCACTAGAAAAACAGGAGCACAGACGCAGGGAAGCCTGGAGGTGTGGCGGTCGAGTCCCGATCTGACTGACCCCAGCGCTCCCCGTTGGGCTATTCCAGGAGCCGGAGGCCACGGACATCCTGTGTTCATGGACCAAGGACGGCTCTTTCTCCTGAGTCTGGGGGAAGAGTCGTGGGCCGAGGAGCTGACTCCGTCCCTCAGCCCCTCGTGCTCCCCTGTGGGAGGCGGAGGCGCGAGGGGTGTTGCCACAGGGCCCCCGGGCTGCAGTGAGTTGCCCCAGTTCCGCCTCTTTCAGGCTGGGTCACTGCGGGCAGGTTCCTTACCCTCTCTGAGCCTCTATTTTTTATTCTGTAAGAAAGGGGGAAAGGACACCTCGCTGTGCGTAAGTTACAGAGATTCGGGGACAGACGCAAAGCCCCCGGTGCCCAGTAGGTACGCCGGAAAAAGAGGGAAGGGAGGAGAGCTCCTGGCGGTAGCTCTCCTGGGAAGGAAAAGGCTGGTCTGACCCCTGACACTCCCCTCCGAGTGTTTACAGAGCCTGGGGCTCGCTGGCACAGTGAGTGGGGTGTCTTCCTCCCTCTGACCGGACTGTGGGCCAAGAAACCCCCCGGTCCTCTCAATCCCACCTTCCGGCCCTGCTAACATCTGCAAGGAGCCGAGGAAAAGCCCAAGTTCTGAACTGGTCATGGTCACAGGGTCGTGCCTGTGACCCTCTCAGCAGACCCTGTTCCATCCTTCTCCTGACAAGGGGCTGCCCCCTCCCCCAGCTCCTCTGCCTTCTGGCCCTGTGCCCCTCCCACAGGGGCAGGGGCAGGGGCAGGGGCAGGACAAGCGACCCAGGCAGCCCTTCCAGTGTGTGTGCTGGACGGCAGCAGAGCAGGGGATGCGGCTGGTGCCGGCCCTCGCAGCCTCCCCGAGGCCTCCCCACAGCAGCGTTGGGGGGTCTCCCTCCTACCCCAGCCCCTCTTCTGGCGTTGGGTGCGAGTGAGTCCCAGCATGAATCACCAGGGGCCTGAGCTCTTACAGTGGCCAGCGACAGCCCCCGTCCATGTCTTTGACCTTTCCCTCCTTCCCGTCAGCCACCTTTGGCCTTGCAGAGCTTCCTGAGACAACAATAGCGGCTGGGTTCGCCAAGCCCAGGACACCGTTCCCACCTCTACCTCCCCCAGGAGGGACCAGGCCTGTGACTTTTGTCCTCGCTGGCACTGGTGCCAGGAAAGAAGGCAACAGTAGCCCCTTTCCTCCCGCCACGTGTGAGGGAACTGGAGCGGAGGCATCTCAGTAAACAGCTCAGGGAGGGGGAGTGGGGAGAGGCAGGTGGGGCCTCGGTTTCCTGGCCTCACGGTTCTGCAGCCCTCTCCTCACGTGGGAAGGGAGGCAGGGCCTCTCTCTGCAGGGGCCATGGAAGGGCCTGGCAGTGGGTCACCTCCGGGCAGGTTCCCCTCCCCTAGGAAGATGGGCGAGGGTCCCCCATGCCTCCTGTCCCCTGGTTCCCAGAGCGCCACCTTCCGCCTGTGCCTCAGAGCCAAGAAAAGCTCAGAGAACACGTTAGAATGTTCTGGAAAGAGGAGAGGTGGGAGGTGAGAAATCTGGGTCCTATCCCCCATTGGGCTACCACATGCTGTGTGACCTTGGGCAAGATTCTGACCCTCTCTGGACCTCAGTTTCCTCTTCTGCAAAAGCAGACTAGAGCCTGGAGCTGTCCTGTCCTGGTGCGCCATCAGGGTCCCCAGGGGGCAGTGTTTAAAGCTCAGGTTCCTGGGCCCCATCCCCTAGAGGCTTGCTTGGGAGAGTGTACTTCTAACACCCCCTGCCCACCAACCCCTGGCGTTCTGGAAGGGCCTGCGCGCCGACCTTAGAGGAAGGTGGCGCTGGATGACCTCAAAAGCCCACTCTGGGTCCAGCTCTGATCTCCTCTGGTTATGAAAGCGGATGGGAGGCGGGCTCGGGGCCAGGGGAAGGACCCTGCCTGGACCCTGATGGGAAGTCAGGGTGAGGGGGCAGGCTGTCAGCTCACAGCCTGAAGGGCTGGTCCCGGGGCTCATGGATTCCCTGGAGGAGGGAAGCAGTCCCTGGTCCCTGGAGATCAGCCCTGGAGGACCAGGTAGGGAGACGCAGAGGCGGAGCCCAGGAGTCCCGACTTCCAAGCCTTTGGGGTCTGAGGGTCTGAGCTTGGGCTTTGGCCCGCCTCCCATCTTACCAAGTGTGAGTGGTGGACCTTCTCATTCTTCTGAGTCTCCTTGGCCAGTTGAACTGAAAGAGACCAGAAGGAGCACCTTGAGGCCAGGAGTAGCTGGGAGTAGCCTGCAGCTGCTCCCACGGAGAAGGACTGCCCACCCCCCCCACAGCTCCCTCAGGGGAGTTAGCAGACCGATTGGGCAGCAAAGCCCCTGCTAGACCAGCCCCTTGGCAATGACCAGGCCTTTTGAGATCAGTACATGGAAATCCCTTCGTGCGGGCCAGAAACCGACAGGGCAAGCGAAGCTCTGCGTGCTGACGTCGTGGCTCCTTACACCTCCGTGTGCGTGCGGGGCCCCAGGGAGCGCTACTGAAGTACAGGCTCTGATGCGTCAGGCCGGCCTTGGGCTGTGAGTCTGCTTCACTAACAGGCTAACAGGGGATGTCGCTGCCGCCAAGCTGGGGACACCATTTGAGAGGCAGAGACTCAGAGGGTCTGAGGCTGCGACCAGGAATGTTCCCGACTGCCCTGTGGGGATTTGGGGACCTGGACAAAGCTGACGTTTTTCCTGGAGCCACTGAGCCGGCGGGGGTGGGGGTGGGCCGGAGCGGGATGTTCCCAAGGCCATCTGCGTAGGGACAACACTGCCAGTTTGCAAAGTGCTTCCCCACACAACTTCCTGGCTCCGCGGCTTCCTGCACAGGGCGAGCCGCTTACCCCTCTGTGCCTCAGTTTCTCCCCTGGGGTAACAGGGGCGCTTGTCACAAGTAGCTCCTGACTGCACCGCAGCGAGGAGGTCAGAGGAGGTCACAGCAATACAGGGGCGGAGGTGGAGGAGGGCATAAGGGGGTAAATGGCAATGGAAAAACTGCAATAAAAATGCACCATTAAGAAAATAAATCATGTGTACTTACCTTGAAAAAAAAAAGGCAATATAAGCCACCCAAGGGTGCCTGGCCCTTGGTGGCTCCTGTTAGTTTATCAGTGGCGCTGCCCGGCACAGCAGCCACAAGACGCACCCGGTCAGCGAGCCCTGGGGATGTGACTGTTCCCAATTATTCCGGTTTCCAAGACTCAGTGTGAAAAAAAGGAGTGTGGAATGTGATATCATTATGATTTTATATTGTCTCCATGTTGAAATGATCGTGTTTTGGTTATGCTGTGTTAAAGTCTATGATTAAAATGAACTTCAGCCCTGGCTGGCGTAGCTCAGTGGATTGAGCGCGGGCTGCGAACCAAAGCATCGCAGGTTCGATTCCCAGTCAGGGCACACGCCTGGGTTGCAGGCCACGGCCCCCAGCAACCGCACATTGATGTTTCTTTCTCTCTCTCTCTTTCTCCCTCCCTTCTCTCTCTAAAAATAAATAAATAAACTCTTTTAAAAAATTCCTTAAAAAAAGGCATTCATCAAATTATAAAAAAACATGAACTTCACTGGTTTCTTTTGACTTCTCTCCATGTGCCTGTTAGAGAATGCTAAGTGACACATGTGGTTTGTATTCTGTTTCTGTTGCCGCATAGCTGCGGCCTGGAGGAGCCCGGGCTCAGGGAGGTCGGAGGATTTCCCTGAGGCTGCACAGGTGACAAAGCCAGGTAGACCTGGCGTCTGAAGCCCAGGCGCAAAAGAAGCTGAGCACGTCTGGAGGCCCAAGGCCACAAAGTCCATCATGCTCAAGTTCAAGTCCTCAGGCCCGCCCTCCCCCCTACAGTCAGTCCTCATATGGAGGAGCTGGACCTGCAGAGACTGCACCTGGGTTGTCTGGAGTCCACAGGGCGAGAAGTGACTGAGGCACCCAGGTGGAGGGGGGCAACCAAGAGACTCCCGCTCTCCCTTTGGCTCCCGCAGAGGGGAGAAGCAGACACGCTGAGCCACGCGGCTTCTGCTGGGTGGTGGAGGAGGAGGACCGCAGGTCTCAGCGAGGTCCCCGGCCGGCCGGCCGAGGGTCTGCAACCCACTCCCATCAACCTTTGCTCACCTTTCTTCCTCCACTGGAAGATGCACCTGCCGAGGGCACACAGCCCTGAAATCAGCAGAAGGGCCAGCAGCACCAGGACCGGCGCCAACATGCGGACCGTTATGGGGCACACCCTGCGGAAGGCACCCAGTAGCTGTCAGCAGACACCAACGGCGTGCGGTGCACCATGACATCTTGTTCTGAGTCCCAGCCATGTCCCTTGTCTCTCCCAAGGACCTCAGAGGGCACCGGGGACCAAACATCCAGCCAGTCCCAAAGGACAGGACCCCAGTCCCCACTGCCAACCCCAGGCAACGCTTTCAGCCGGGTCTGCACTTGCTGGCAGTCACCTGGGCGCCGGTGACCGAGTGCGGGTGTGTGGGAACCCCCAGGAACCCATCCTTCGGGAGAGGACCCCAGTTGGGTAGGAAAAAATCGTTGTTGCATGTTTTCGTGCTTGGCACAGGGCCCAGAGCCAGGTGTACAGGCCAGAGCTCCTGACCCGGGGTGGTTGGCCCTGAAGCTGGGGCAGGGAGAGAGGTGGACTCTTCTCCCTGGGTGGGCCTGCGTTTCCAGGGCAACAGGGCTCCTGGCCCAAGGGCCCTGCAGAGGGCAGGTGGGGCGGGGGCTGACGCTGAATCTGCCCTGGGGCCTCAAGCCGCGGCCATGACGAGGAGCTGTGTTCTCCCGGAGAGAGCAGTGTTAGGTTCCTATTTGCTCCAAGGCCCCTTATGGTTGTGTGATGGCCTGAAAGGTGACCTTGGTCAGCGGGGCCTCACCTGGACTTGGCGCTGCTGCTGCTGCTGCTGCTGCTGCTGCGGTGCAGACTGGCATCATTTGCCGAGATGAAGTCCAGGTGAGTGGACGGGCCTGCGGTCCCTGCATGAGGAGAGGTTGCTTTGTGAGGAGACGTCTCTTCATACGGAGAGGTCTCTTCATACGGAGGGGTCTCTTCATATGGAGGGGTCCCTGCACGCGGAGGGGTCCCTGCGTGCGGAGAGGTTCCTGAGTACAAAGACGCTCCTGTGTGCTCGGACGGGGATGTGCCTGTGAGCAGAGAGGCCTCGGCCTTTGTCTTCCCCCGCGTGGCCGTGGTGACTCTCGGGCGGACACCAGGAAAAGCTACAAGTCCAAAAGCATGCCTCAGTGCCTTCCCTGACCCTTGAATCCCAGCTCCCCCAGACCTCCGAGCCTCGACCCCTGAACCCTCCCCTCCTCGGGACCAGCTTTTCAGAATAAGCCCCTTGAGCGAGCGAGCCCTATCTCAGGCATGCCCGCGACCTGTGCACAGTGTTCAGCCCCTTTTCCTGCCCGCAGCCTGTTCTCTGGGTGGAGGGGCGCACCCCGCTCCCACCTCCAAGACCCAGTCCAGGGGCCACTGGGCAGATGGCTTCCTGCTGTCCCCCACAGTCCTGGCCTCACTTGGAAGTCTTCATGGCAACATCGCATGCCCACTCCTACCTCCCATGTAGACCTCAACCTCCCTCCTTAGCCGTGGGGTCGACAGGGCAGGGTCACAGACCCAGAGGTCAGGGCAAAAGGCCCAGCCTCTCCTGCTCGTTCCTCAGACCCTGGGCTGAACACACACGCTTTGCCAGCAGGCTGGGTCTGCTTCCTGGCTCTGCTGCCTCCTATGTGACCTTGAGCGAGCGACCTAGCGCCGCTGAGCCTCTCAGTCCTCAGTGGGCAGCCCAGCGCCCAGGCGGCGGGGGCCACCAAGCACCGTGTCTGCACCGGGCAGGTGCTGGCTGGTTGTTTCTCTACAAAGGGGCGGGAGGGGGGCAGGAAAACCATTCACTCACTCCGTGCTGGGGGCTGAGTTTGCCAAGCTCTGGCCTTGGGCTGGAGGCTCGTAGCAAGAGGCTGGAGGAAAGGGGCGGGGGAGGGAGAGCAGCAGGGACCTAGAGGAAAGGGAAGGCGGGTCTCAGGGAGGCAGGGGTCACTGCTCTGAACCAGATTTCCTGTCTTGGGGGCAGCCAGCAGCGTCCCCCTCTCCCTGCACCCCTCTTTCCTCTCGGAGCATCCTGTCTTCTCCCCTCGGCCACTCTGGAGCCGCGGCTGGTAGGTTCCAGCAGACGGCTGGCCTTCCCCTCCTGCAGGCCCCTGGGCCTCCCCCTTAGCCCAGACCGTCAGCTTCCCTTGCCCCTCCTGCCCGCTAGCCCAATGCTAGTTCGGTCTCTAAAATATACACTGGATCCCATCCCTTCCTGCGGAAGAACAGTCGATGAGTCCCCACTGCCCCTAAGCTGAACTTCAAACTTGGAACTCATGAAGCTCAAACGCCAGAGTGCTACCGCCCTACGGGGGCGCCCTGCAGTCCCACCCGAGCGAGCGAGGCTCCCGCCTCCCCCACGCCTTTGGCGGGCTGCTCCTCCGTGCGCCCTGCCTGTCCATCGCTACCCGACACGCTTCTCTCTGTCCTGCGAGCGCGGGCTCAGAAGTCAGCTCCCCCACCACACCTTCCCTGGAAGGGCGAGTCCTTTGTCCTTTGTGTGCCTGCAGCGCCCTGTGCATGTCACCAGTGACGCTAACACACGGTTTGTGGCAATAACCTGTTTACAAGGCCCCTCCGCTAGGCAAAGGCTTCTCCAGGGTGAAACGCCCAGGCGCCCAGCGCCGTGGGCAGACAGACACCTTGTGTGGCCAAAGCCCCGGGACCCTCCGGGCTCCCGGACTCCCCGCAGTCGCCTCCTTTCTGCCTTCCCCGTTATTTTTAAATTCTAATCCAGGTCTCCAGTTTTTCTCTGTCAATAATCAACGCTTCAGCAGATGAAGAGTTTTTTTTCCTTTCCTTTCCAGTATTTACACTCCTTCATCTTGTCCTATTGGGTGGCCTAGCACCCCCAGGTCACGAATGCCGGCGATGCCAGAGGCCACGCACGTCCTGCTCTGACCCTCCTACAAATTCTTCCAACGCGTCCCCGTACGCCGTGGGCTGCGGACACGCTCCCATGGGCTCATGAGAGCTAATTTTAGCCTTTCGGGAATGTGTAAGCTGGTTGTTCCACTGTTGGTGGCCAGAAATTGGCCATGGCAGGGGCATTTACGCGGCAGAAACGAACAACCACTACCAGCCGGGGGTTGGCCAGCCGGTCGCTAAACAGCCGCCAGCACACAGCTGGCAGAAGCCTTCATTATTTTCAATATCTCACCTGTCATCGGAGAGAGGCCCGGAGGCTCTTATACAGGAGGGTAACATAGTGATGCCTGTGTTACACACAAATACATGTAAAGGAGGGTAAGACGAAGAACAGGAGAGCCTCACGTACGGGGGAAAACCTGGTCACGCCGGGCAAGAGCGAGGTCTGAGTACTGAGAACTGGAAGACGTGAGAGAATCTTATACCTAATGGAGAAGAGGCTCCATGTGGGTTTGATGCTGCTGCTGTCATTTGCTGAGAGTGTCTTTGCTTTCCCTGAATTAAAACGAAGCCCCGTGGATGCCAGGGACCTGGCAGTGGGGATGGGCTGGGGACAGGGTGGCTCTCAGCGCTGGGGCCAGGAGGGGAACGAGCAGATGCTAAGCCAGAAGTGACCTGCTTTTGAAACCTGGCCCTTCCTGCCACTTCCTGCCGTGACACCCTGGGCAAGTCACTTCATCTCTCAGAGCCTCAGCTGCCCCATCTGTGAAATGGGGTACAAAGGCCTCCCTCACCCTTGCTGACTCTCCGACTGGGGCCGCCCACTCCCCTGAGACCCTTCTGGCCTCTTTCTCCAAGCTCAGCAGGCCCAGGTGGGGCTCCGGGCACCCGGAGAGGTGCTCCATGCCCAGCCCGAGCCCCGTGGCTCCAGCCCCAGCCTCCTGCTGTCCCCTGAGCCAAACAAGCCCCTCTGCGGCTGGTTCCCAGGAACTCCCCACGCCTGTCCGCGGGACTTCCAGATCTGGGGGAGGGGAGGGGCGGGGAGAAGGAAGAGCCGAGGCCACGCAGCTGAGGTGAGTGTGGCCGTGGCTTGAGTGAACCGTGGGGAGGGTCTGGGGTGCAGTGATTAAAGGCCCAGCCTGAGGAACCCGCCGGAATCTCTCTCACTCCCAGGAGGGAGGGCATCTTTTTTATTCTGTGGGAGGTCCCTTTTGTCCCCAGCTCTCCGCAATCTCGCAATCTCTCTCCCACACCTGGGCAGACAGGAAAGGCACTGAGACCGGCGTCGGACAGGTCTGGGTTTCCTGCTGCTCTGCCACCTACTCGTGGTGTGTGATCTCGGGCAGCGAGAGCAAAGGAGCAGCTGAGGCTTGTTGTGCCCCAAACGCTGCTGCTGCTGCGTGTTTGACCCGTGTGACCCCCTGGGTCCTGGAGCCACCCCTCCTCCGTGAGGCATTCTGCCCTTTGCGTTGGGAAAACTGGGCCCACCGCTGTCTGCCTACCCACCCCTCCCTCTTGCCCCCTGCCCCTCCCAGCCTCCAGGTAGGAGGGACATTCGTTACCTGGAAGGACGACCAGAGAGACCCCGAGAGTGACATCAAAGCCCAGTCTTGTCACGCCACACAAGTAGTCTCCCGAGTCCTCCAGGGTGAGCGCCCTCAGGGTCACGTTGAACCTGAGCTCCTGCGGTTTGTCCCGGATGGACATCCTGCCCTCTGTACTCTCCCGGCCATCCGCTCTTGTGTAGACAGTGGTGGAGCAGCGGTCGACGAGGACCCCGATGTTCTTGCACCAGTACTTCTGGTGGTCCCTCAGCTTCTTGTCGTAGGCACACAGCAGGGACACGGTGCCGCCTTCGAACCCTCTGATCTTCTTCGGGCCCGTCAGGGCTCCATAGCCTGAGACCACAGCAGAAGTGGAGGTTGGAATTCCCTGGCTCAAGCACCAGGGTCAAGGCCAGTGGGTTTTTCTCAGCCCCCCCCACTTTGCAGGGGCAGCCCTGTCAGAGCTGGTACGCCCCACTCCCACTAGGCGACCTTGGGACAGGGTTGTGAAAATGAATATAATTCTATATCATTGTTTCCCTCACCCTGGCTGTGGGTGGGGAAGCTCTAGGTTCAGACAGCCTGGGGTTGGAATCCCAGCACTGCCACTTAGTAGCTGTGTGACCTTGGGGAAGTTGCTTGACTTCTCTGGGCCTCTGAGTTTTCTCTGTCATCTATGGGCGATGACAACGTCTTATTGCATTGCTTTTCGTTGAAAAGAATTATTTTTAGTGATACACATAATAACTTAAAGGTGCACATTTGTTTACCCACAAAATCCCCTGTCTTCCCTGACCGGTGTGGTTCAGTTGGTTGGGGGTTGTACCCCAAAAGCAAAGGGTCACCAGTTCAATTCCCGGTCAGGGCACAGGCCTTGGTTGTGGCATTGGTCCCCAGTGGGGGGGCCTGTGCGAGAGGCAACTGATCGATGCTCCTCTCTCACATTGATGTTTCTCTCCCTCTCTTTCTCCCTCCCTTTCCCTCTCTCTAAACGTAAATAAATAAAATCTTAAAAACCCCAAACCCTTTCTGTTTGTGGAGTCCGTGGAAACCCTCAGCCTGCTGGCCTGTTACAACGAGCTGCTGCTCCAGCTGGAGTCTGGAGAGGCGCTGCTGCGGCCGAGACCCGGGGGTTCTGCTGCCTGTGGAAAGTCACCCCCAGCGCGCAGGGCAGCGCGAAGGGAGAACTTGGTCGTGGGCGGCTGCGTCTCGGGGGTAACGGACCCCCGCTAAAATGGGGCAGGGTGGCGTGGTGGCTTCCTCCCTGGTTTGGACTTTCGGAGTCATCCTGGTGTCTAACGGGTGGGACCTGGTGCCGTGGTAGCGGCTGGAGATTCGGATTTAAATATGGGCCTCCAAAATACCACCAGGTGAAGAGGCAGGACACATAAGTCTAATAACTAAAGATTTCTAAGCAGCGAGGAGCGTACATGATATTTTGAGCGTTCATGATATACTGAATCATCTGTTTTGTTGTTTTTAAGAAAAAAATACTTTACTATTCACCCACAGCCAACCTATTAATACTGGTTCTCTCTGTCGGGGACACGTTTTCTTCCCTGCAAGAAGCACTTTGTCATTTGCTCTTTTTAAGACATCATTTTATTTTTAATTTTTTCCATTACAGCTTACGTTCAGTACGATTTTGCACAGGTACCCTCGCGTGGTGCCTGATGGTGAGACAATGATATGCTTTATGAGGCGCCGCCCCGGGCGTTGGCAGTCCCCACCTGACACCACGCGTAATTCTCACACCACACGCGGTCCTGACAGCGTTATTGACTGCGTTCCCTGCGCCGTGCTGCACCTCCCTGTGACGGCGTTGCAGCCACCAACGTGTAGTCCTCAGCCCCTCCACCTTCCCCACGGGCCGTGTTTGTTTTGCTCCTCAGATCCCACCGATTCGTGAACCCCGACGGTGTTTCTCTTTCTCTGCCGGGCTCACCTCACTGAGCGTAACTCCCTCTAGGGTCCATCCTGGCTGTTGTAAATGCTACGAGCTCACTCTCATTGGGTTTAAGATGCTATCCTCTGTAAGACACACGATACTTTTATATACTGCTGAAAAACTGTCAGTTGAATGGGCATCACTTACAAGATGCATCCTGGTTTTTGATGGTAAAAGGTTAAAAAAAAGAGCAAGTCTGTGAATCGATAAAACAGAGTAATTCTTTACCTCCTGGGGTTGTTGTGAGTGATAGAGAAGAAGGTCAAAAACATATTCGCTGCGTCGAGGGTGGCACCGCACAGGGGACGCGCTGTCTGCCTCCAGGCTCCGCGCAGAGCGGCGACATAAGGAGAGAGGCAAAGCTTCCCTCAAAGCCGCACTGCCACCAAGACGCTGGAATCCCTAGGTCTGGGACAACACCTGCCCTGCGCTCCCAAGCAGCAAGTGCTAGCCCCTCCGGGGGGCTGAGGAAGCTCAGAAGGACTGAGGGTGGGCGGGCAGAGCCTGGAAAGATCAGGCAGGGCTACCCCGGCTGCTGCAGGCAGGAAAGGAAACGTAGGATCGCAGGCTCGAGAGACCTTCTTCCTGCAGCCCCACAAGCGAGCTTGGGCCCAAGCCCCACATTCCTCCACTCCTCCCTCCGCCCCTCTCACCTGGGAGCACGAGGCAGCCCCACAGCAGGACGAGGGGCCTCATGGTGGGCGCCAGACGCGCAGGAGCACGCACACACTGGGAATGGGAACGCCTCTGGGGGCTTGCGCTTCCTCCAGATGGAGATCAAAACCAGGAAGGCAGAGGAGGGGCCCTGTAGGTCACCCCTAGACCGCCCAGGCCGCCCAGCCCAGGGTGACGCCCCCTGCCATTCCCTTTCCTTACCTCTCCCCGCCTGAAAACCCCACTCGAGCGCTTCTCCCCAGCCCATGCTCCCTCCAGGAAGTCTTAACCTTGGCCACAGGCAGACACCCAGGCAGAAGGTCTGTGTCTACCAGTCAGGGAGCCCGTGGACTGGGGAGGGGGCGTGGGGGATATTGCTACCGACTTGCCCTAACCTTTAAGTAGTATCATTCCTTCTATTATGAGTGTTAGCAGCACCTGTGACTTTGTCACCCACAAAAATCACAGATATTAGCACATCACGTTGTCACCGATAGCTCAACATATCGTGTACGCTCCTCGCTGCTTAGAAATCTTTACTTATTAGACTTTCCACTAAAGCTGCTTATTTAAGGTGTTCATTAAGGAGCACATTTATTCCTCTGTTACACACTTATAAATGTGTATATATATATTTAATTGCAAAATTCATACAGGTTGTAAGCACAACTTTGTGCAGCACAGACATGTAGAAGCAGGCGGAGAGGGGAAAGGGGTAGGGAAGGGGAAGGGGGAGCAGAAGAATGGGAACATTTCCTGTGATTGTTCTTCCTCAGGAAACCACTGTTTGCATTTTGGTGTATATACAGCTGGAATTGTATCCACTTGGCGGGCTAATATTTGAAGCAACAGCTCCGTGGTTCTCGGAGAGGAGTGTGCGTGTGTGTGTGTGTGTGTGTGTGTGTGTGACCTGGTGGTGTGGGAGACAGGTGTAACTTCAGTGCCTGGGGGCTCTGCAGGGCAGGGACGGAGGCTCACACGGCGACACCCCTGTAAGGATGGTGCCCCCCCAGGACCCCACTCCCATTACACGTCTCCACTCTGAAAAACAATCTGTTTGTTGCAGTTTTAAAATGCTATTTATTCTAGTGTTTGATAGTCTATCTCTGTTCTTTCATTTCTGTCTTGTCCTTACACAGAGTACTTTCTGATCTTCTTAGGTATCTTAAATTCTAACTTACTTTTGTTATAAGCAGGGAGAAGCACCTGACCCTTTCATGTTTTCTAGTGTCACAGGGCCTCCGCCGTGACACTTGGGAATGTGTGTTATTTGGTGACAAGTTGTTTTCCTTTCAGTTTATTCCCCCCACTTACAGTTCAGGCGTTATATTGTGATTTTTAAAAAGTAAGCGTGAGAAGGCATATTACTTATGACTGCATTTCAGGAGAGTGAAAGAAGTGTCACCAAACTTTTAATTAAAAATTTTATTAAATTTTAATTTAGTTTCATTTTAATTTTTAATTTTATTATACCTATATATTTTAGAGAGAGGGGAAGGGAGGGAGAAAGAGAGGGAGTGAAACATCAGTGTGTGGTTGCCTCTCACACGCCCCCTACTGGGAACTTGGCCCACAATCCAGGCCTGTGCCCTGACTGGGAATCAAACTGGCAACCTTTCGGTTCACAGCCTGCACTCAATCCACTGAGCTTCACCAGCCAGGGCCTGACCATTTTTCTATTTTTTTCATCTTTTGTTTAAAGCATGTGTGAACTATTAAATCAAGGAATTGAACTGTTTATCATAGTGCATATGATATCATATCATGTTACAAATAATATTTTTGTCAAGAAAAGTGTCTACATTTCATTTAGTCACACACATCCCTCTGTGTCTTTATAGTGCTGGGTATAGATTTTGCTTAGAAAGGCCTTCCCAAGTCCACTGGGAGAGTATTTTGGTGCGAGGAGTGAGGTAGGGATCCTGTATTTCCCTTTTTGCATAAAGAATAAGCTACTTGTGCCCTGGCTGGCGTAGCTCAGTGGATCGAGCATGGGCTGTGAACCAAAGCATCGCAGGTTCTATTCCCAGTCAGGGCACATGCCTGGGTTGCAGGCCATGACCCCCAGCAACCGCACATTGATGTCTCTCTCTCTATCTCCCTCCCTTCCCTCTCTAAAAATAAATAAATAAAATCTTAAAAAAATAAGCTACTTGTCCCCACATTATTTTTTTTAGTAAATCCTGCCCCCAACATTTACATGAATATATGTGCATACAGCCTGTGCAGAAAGTATCCAGCCACACTCTATGAAAAATGCGATGTGTATATTTATAGTCATCTCTATCAAAAGTTTAATTACATTATACAGGGAGACCATTTCTGCACTTTCTACCTTGTTCTGTCTAGCTGTTGGTGGTTTCTTCAGCACCGACCTTTAAATAATTGTTTTCATATAAAAAAATGTTTCATATCTCCTACAGCTCACCCCACCCCACCTGGTCGTTCTTTTCAGAATTTTCCTGCTATTCATTAATGCTTATACTCTTCTGATGAATTTTAGTAGCACTTAATAAGTTCCCTGGAAAATCCTTTTTATATTTTGATTGGGGTTCAATTGTGTTTGAAGGTTTTTTTTTTAGAATGAATTGACGTATTAACAGTATTGAACCGCCCTTTTTTCTGAGTTAGTTTATTGTGTATGTCCTTTAGTAGCATTTTAAAAGTTCCTCCTCCCCCAATATTTCAATGGGTCCTTCACTTTTTCTATAAATTTATAACTTGGCATTTAATTCCTTGGTTGCTATTTTAGTTTGGACCTTTTTTAAAAGATTTTATTTATTTTTAGAGAGGAAAGGGAGGGAGAAAGAGAGAGAGAGAAAGAAACATCAATGTGTGGTTGCTGGGGGCCGTGGCCTGCAACCCAGGCATGTGCCCTGACTGGGAATCGAACCTGCGACACTTTGGTTCGCAGCCCGAGCTCAATCCACTGAGCTACTCTCTCCAGGGCTGGAATTTTTTCATTATACTTTAGAATTATTTTTGTCCATAAGAAAGTCATTGGATTTTTAGTATTAGTGTACTCTGCCATCTTATTTAATTTTTCTCATCATTTCCATCTGGATTTTTAGTCAATCCTTTTGAATTTCTAGGTATAGCATGTGTCACCTGACCTGACTCCTTCTAGTATCTCTACCTGTTACTTCTTCTCATCTGGCAGTAGACAACAGCCCCAGAGCGATGACAAATGGTTCTGGTGAGGGGAGGCCCCTCGCGGTTTAATTACTGCATCCATGCACATTTAAGCTTGAAATGTCTTCCTGATCAACCAATCCCTTTTCTTTATGAAATATCTCTGCTTATCCCTGGTAGTAATTCTTCTTTTGAAGTCTGTTTTGTGCTATATTAATGTAGTCACTTCAGCTTTGTTCACTGGTATTTCCATGGTACATTTTTAAAATTCTTTTTCTTTTCATATCTCTGTATCTTCATGTTTAAAGTGAGTTTCTGGTAGCTAGCACACGGTGAAGTTGTGCTTTTTAAAAAAAAAATCAACCTGACAATCTGTCTTTTATTTTTTTAATTTTATTTTTAGAGAGGGAAGGGAAGGAGAAAGGGAGAAAGAGAGAGAGAAAAACATCAATGTGCGGTTGCTGGGGGCCATGACCTGCAACCCAGGCATGTGCCTTGACTAGGAATCGAACCTGCGATGCCTGGTTCCCAGCCTGTGCTCAGTCCACTGGGCTACATCAGCCAGGGCTCAATCTCTGTCTTTTATTTGGAGGATTTAGACCATTTACTTTTTATGACAACTTTATTGAGATACAATTTACACACCATAAAAGTCATCCATTCCAAGTGTACAATTCAATGGTTCTTAGTATATTCACAGAGCTGTCACCATAATCTAATCTCAGAACATGTTCATCACCTCGGAAAGAAACTTCTACTCCCCAAGGCTAGGCAACCACTGATCCTTCTGTCTCTGAAGATTTGCTTATCCTGGTTTTTTCACGTTAATGAAATCATACAATACGGGGTCTTTCGTGACTGATTTTTTTCACATTGCATAGTATCTTGAGGTTCTTCTGTGTTGAGTCATGTATTAGTACCTCATTTTTTATTGCTAAATAATATGTTGTTGAATGGTTATGCGCTATTTTATTTATCCACTAATCAATTGATGGACATTTGAGTTTTTTCCTACCTTTTGGTCATTACAAATTGCACCACTTGAATATTTTGGTACAATTTTTGTGTTTTTTTTTTCATTTCTCTTGTGTATATATTTAGGGGTGGATTGCTACACCCTATGGTACCTTTATGTTTAATCTTTTATTTACCTTCATTTTTGAAAGACATTTAAAAAATCATGCAAGGATGCCTTTTCAAGCATCTATGGAGATCATATTAACTTTTTAATTTTCATCCTATAATAGATCACCTTATGTAGAGTTATAGCAATAGATTTCCAAGTATTAAACCATTTATTTTCCAAATATTAAGCCATTTTTAGAATATACTCTATTTGACCACGGTGTTTACACCATTCTTTTGGTATTCTGGTGAAATTGTCAGCTAAAATAGTTTTTAGGATTTTTCTTCATAAGTGAGACTGGTTTGTAGGATTTTTTTTTTTTTTTGCTTTCTTTGACAGGTTTTAGTATCAATGCTATGTTTACTTTATAAAAAGAATTTTGAATACTTATATATTTCTAGAACGGTGATTTTCAACCTTTTTCATCTCATGGCACACGTAAACTAATTACTAAAATTCTGTTGCATACCAAAAAAAATATTTTTTACACATCTGCCCCACCCCCAAAATAAACAGGCATAATTTTGATTCATTTCTACCCAATGGCTAGTGTACTGGCTGCTGTCATTTTTTTTATTGACAATCTAAGGGAAAAGAGGTCAGTGTCCCTGACTAGTCAAGTGTCGCATGTATGAAAAATTCCTGTGGCACACTGGTTGCAAATCGTTGTTCTGGGAGAGTGAAAGACAACTGTTCTTTTAATTCGGTAGAATTCTCCTGCAGAACTATCTGGTGTTTCTTTGACAACTCTGTTGAGATCAGCCTGTTCATGTCGGTCTCTTCTGGAATACTTCCAATAATTTGTGTAAGAATACTAAGTTGCGTCTCTGGACCAGCTGAG